AAATATAATAGACTGGAATAGAACTTTTAACTTGGTATCATCTGCTTTCACGATCCGTTTCTGGTCGGAACTTTTTTTCCCCTAATCAAGCAGCTTTCACCCCCCCTCCCCTACCCCATATCTTTCTCCTCTCCCCCCCACATGTGCGGGCGTTCGCACGGGCATCAGCTGCTGCTGCTGCTCGCCAAAGTCACGGGGACGGTCCGTCCGCGGGGCCGCGCGCCGTATTGTCCTCTCCCTTCATTAGTGACGTGCAAGAGATGAGATGCAATTAGGGCGCTTCTCTCTCTCTCACACTCTTTCTCTCTCTCTCGCTCACTCTCGCTCCCGCTCTCCCCTCGCTTTTTCGCTCTCCCCCTGGACGTGTCAGCGCGTCACAACACCCCTACCGCTGCAGCAACAATCACTCCTAATCGCCGGCCTGATCCATCACCGCGTGATCCCCGCTCCCGTGGATCCTGTGACGGAGGTGGGATTATCTATCTACCTCTGCCCTCTACCTCACCCCGAGGAGCCCACAACTCGTGCAATCGTGTGCAATCGAGTGCAATCGAGTGCAATCTTTGAAATCAAACTTACAAGTGTCCTACCGTTTCCAGCAAATTATTTGGTTGCTTCCAATAATGCTGTGATTGAGACTCAACCTATTCAAAACTCAAAAATGAACTTTGTCGGTGGATCACGAATTTAAGATTGTGCAAATCCTAATCCTGTGCAGTTCTGCAATCCTGAGTTTACTCATTTTGGTTGAGTGGCGGCTTCCTTCGCAGAAGCCACAACATACATAATTTTTTTATAAAATAGGACTCACGCGTTATAGAGGCAACAGGGTACAAATTATGACCTACTCAAGATACGGATGATTTAAGCTCATGTGAACTGAACTGACTTCGTTATAACCCTCATTGAAGTTGAAAAGGTTCTAGACCTGGAGCCCTTTAAGACTTTCAAAGCATCTGATAACCACTCTGTTAATCCCGAGAAGACGGTGTGAACTTGGCGGGACTCGCTGTTCAGTTGTAAGGCGATGAGCAAGCGTTGCTCGTGTCCGCCCGTGCTGCCCAGATTCATCGTCTCAGACCTCTCCCCTTCTCGGCTCTCTCCCCTCCGCTCTCTCCCCCATCCCACTTCCTCTCTCTCTCTCTCACTCCCCCATCATGCACGCAATGTCGCATCCTCGTTTTGAAGCTCATCCCCCCCATTTTTACGGCGTTCGCTGTTTTTATCTCGAGTGTTTAATAAACAGGTCCGGGCGGGCCACGCACACCAGCAGCCAAGCCGAGGAAATTGCATTCTCTGAGGCAACATCTCCGATTTCGTACAATGAAGCAATTCCCAACACTTTGACGTATTCGCGTCGAGATTGAAGACTTTCCATAAAGATCGAAACAGAAAATGCGCAATTTATGGGGAACGGCAAAGGTAGAGGCCATCGTGCTGTGTACAGTCGCGCGCGTCCCCGCGAAGTAATACTTGCTCAGTGTACTTCTCTGTGGTGTACACGTTTTCCCTCTTCTTATTTCTGTTTCCCTTCAGGAAGCCCGGGGGGAGCGACGAACAAAGCAGACCGCAGAGCATACGCTTCCACTTCGCACCTTTTGCAGTTGCTTTTCATCTCTTTGCACCTCGCCGCGATGGCGGGCGGGCGCCCCTCCGGCCCGCGCCAGCCGCAGCGCCTGCAATCTCCTCAGCAGTCACCTTGGTGGTGGTTTTCATCTATGGATGACAAAGGGCCTCCTCCCCGTGCCCTGCCCTGCCCCCGGGGGCGGGGGCGGCGGGGGCTGTACGGTGTGATTTAACACAGCGCCCAAACAATGCCCGTGACACATGTGAACCGAGGCGTTTGGCAAAATGAAAATGCGCTCCCTCTTCCCCTCTTTTTTTGTATTTTTCATCTGCGGCTGCCTGCTTGTCTTGTATTTCTCCCTGATATGTTCGCGCTGGATCTGTTTGTCAGCAAGGTGTGAGGGATGTGCCGTTGTGCGGCCAGACAGTCATGGTGTTCCCCGGGGCCATAGCCAGCCAGCCACTCAGTCGGGAGACAAAAGGCGCGAGAAGTGCGCAAAACTATCCGACAACAGAGTGGTCTCCGCAATCACATGGCGTCAACAATGGCGATCAAGGGCCTAAATGTGGTGGTGTTGGTGGCGCCCATATAATTGGCCGTCCGCACAACAATGCCCATGGACCCATTGTCACTGTTAAAAAGCAAACGAGCTGTCCCAGGCTAGCAGTGGGCCGAGGCAGGCCCCGGGCGACGTGGGCTACTCTCTGCATGGGCCAGTGCGACAGAGTGACAGAGATGGCGATGAGAGCACTTAGGCGCTGGGAGGAAGCCCAAAACCACGTGACTGTAGGAGAGGGGATTGTGGGTGTGGGTGGGTCCCCAAAGGATCAAGGCGGTCATTGGTGCCGATAGGAGCCCTATGATATTTGCACCCCTGGGTACAAATATCATCTAGTAGAAACGTAATCCATAATAACCTATATTGAAAGTAGTATACACAATGTGAAATTCGTGTTAGCTATTTGATGGCACTCTTTTAACATGCGTTTGTGTTTTTCAATTAAATCTGGACGAAAGTGGATTGGTTGTAGGCGGATTTGGTAAAAACGTCTTTAAGAGCTGACGTTTAGAAAAAAAAATGTATGACCAGTGCATCCTTTGCAAAGAATTTCTTTCGCCGGCTCCGTAACATATTTCGTTTTTAACAGTCCCTCCACCATCACCTTGGTAAAGTCCCTCAAGATGATTCTGGAGCGTCCTCTAACCGTGCGCAATTTGCCGCGGCAGAGAGAGAGA